TCACACTGGTTGAGAAAAATAAGGTTACAATCATAGACATCACAATACCAGGTGATAGCAGGGTCGACGAGAAGGAAAAAAGCACTGGAATTACATTTAAAACAGTTAAAAATTGACAAAATCACCATCAGTCAAATGCAAAAAGCCGCACTGCTTGGATCTGCACGCATACGTTACGACGTCCTAGGCCCCTGGGTGGGGCCCGACTAATAATCAATGCCAAATCTGGCGAAACAACTGGTTGCTGTGATACAATTCTGTTGTTGTGATGATAATAACAACAACAACAACAGATCTATGAACATCTAGAAACAAATAGTTATAACTTTATAGTAGCCAGTTATGCCAAACCAATCTAAGTGATTAAATTAGAAGACCAGCGACATAGTACACTTAGACTGCAGCAAGGCATTCAACAAAGTAAACCACAACCTACTTCTTGGTCAACTAGAAAAATCACCACTAGATGGATTTGTAATTGCCTGACAAACCATATTTAATGAATAATCCTTAATGGTACTAAAGCTACATGGAGAGAAGTAAGCAGTGAGGTACCCCATGTTCTATCTTAAGCCCAGTACTTCTTCAATATCTTCATAAATGACAGATGAGGGAACAGAAGGGGTACTCCTCAAATTTGCAGATGACAGTTAGCTGGCAGGTATAGCCAACATCCCCGAAGACAAGCCCAGGCTCTTCACATATCTGAATAACAGGCCCTATCCTACAACAAGAAATTTAATATGGAGAAAAGCAACCTTCCCTAAAGCCTCCGGAGAGCAAAAAAACAGCCCTATGGGCAAACCGGAAGTTTGGGAATGGACTTCTGGTTTGCTCGTAAGGTCGGTTTAAGCCCTCCGGAGGCTTCAGGGAAGCCTCCTGAAAGTCCCTGAAGCCTCCAGAAAACTAAAAACGGGCCTACAAACAAACCAGAAGTCACTTCCGGTTTGCTCAAAGGTCATTTTTTGCCCTCCAGAGGCTTCAGGGAAGCCTCCTGAAGATCCCTGAAGTCTCCGGAGGGCTTAAATCAATCCTATGAGCAAACNAAAAAATTGTACTCCAATGTCTTACTGATTGAGGAATGATGAAATGTTTGTTTTAAAAGAAAATAAAACTTTTGAACATGAAAATTACCTTTTTCCCCTCTCCTATATAAGCTTTTGTTTTTTAGTAAAATGTATTCTTATATAATTACAGCCATAGTTTATCATTATCAATATCTTCAGAAAAAATTACCTTGAACAGATTTGACATAAAGACTGAAGAGAAACCGCAGGCATATAGCTTAAGGCAGCATTGTACCGTAGCAAAAGGAATGTCAATACTTCAAATCTATAAAATAAGAATTATAGTTAATTTTAAGAGTATCATTAATCATGCAAATAAAACATTTCCTCTTCGTTGGTCATATCAACAATACATATAAGCCTTTTTTTAAAAATACTGTATTTGTTAAATATTAATTTATGAGAAAAGGATAATTTGCATATGCCCAGATTACTTCTTTAATATCTATAATTGAAAGCAATATAGTACATTTTACCTGTTTTGTGCTGTCAACATTTCTCTTTGCATATGAGGTCCACTATATACAACCCTGGATAAGCCGTGTTGAGATAAAGCACCCTCAGTAAGAGCCATTGAACCAATACTGGAAGGCTAAACAAAATAGTTTTTTTTCAATATATCACTTAACATGGCATTAGTAATTTAAAAAAATCAAAAAGAAAAAGAAAGCAGAAAGCAGTTTATTATCAATGACTTTAAGACAGTCACCCCAATTTGCTTCAGAGTTGTTGTGGGGAAAATAGGAAGAGGAAGGAGTATTATGTTGCTACACTGAGGTATTTATAAAAAAAATAAAGGCAGGGAAAAATAAAATAAATAAATAAATAAATAAATAAATAATCAATCACATAGATAGTATACAGCCTACTGAAATTGCATTAACTGAAACTTCTTAGCATTTTTTGCAACTAAATTAGTGTATATTGCTATTTTGGATAATGCCCATTCAATTATTCATTTTTATGGAAATTTTTCAAGTAATTTTTTTTATATCTTTGTTTACTTTCCCAAGAAAGTACATTTTTATTATATCAATGTTTACAGATTTCCAAAAAAACTACTGCATATCTTAATTTTAATTGATCATATTTCAAAGTGTGAAAATATCAGTGATGAAAATATAACAACAGCTTTCAAATACCTACAAAATTGTTCTCTAAAAATATTTTATTCAAATTTACCTTGGCTTTTTAACTATATTATATATTCCCCAATTGAATATATTTGCCCATACAGTATAAATATTTTCCTGGGAAGTAAGGTGGATATAAATGTTTAAATTTTGGTAAATAATAATTTATCAATGTATATTTAATTTCAGTGAATACAGTGAATATAAAAAGTCCATACATCACTGTTAAAATGCCTGGTTTTTTGAGATGTAAAAAAATCAGATCAAGATAAATCATTCAGGATTTTTTCTGTCTTTAATATATAGTGCATTCAGAAAATATTCAGATCCCCTTCACTTTTGTCAATTTTGTTATGCTGCAGCCTGAAATTCTAGTAGTTGAAATTCATTTTTCCTCATTATTTATGTATACTCAGTACTCTATAATGACAAAGTAAAAACAGAATTTTAGAAATGTCTATAAATTTATTTTAAAAAAACTGAAATATCACATTGGCATTATTCAGACTCTTTGCAACAAAACTTGAAATTTAGTTCAGTTCATTTCTTTACTTCAAGAAATTTAATTGTGGTGACTGTGGGGGTGTTTTTCAGCAGCAGGACCTGAGAGATTGGTCAGGGTTGAGGGAAAGCTGAATGGAGCAAAGTGCAGGAATATCCTCAATGAAATCTGCTCCACAGAGATCAGCACCTCAGACTGGACCAAAGATTCACTTTCCAACATAACAACCATCCTAAGCACACAGCCAAGAGAACAGAGGAATGACTTAGGGACAATTCTGTGAATGTCTTAGAGTGGCCCAGCCAGAACCCTGACTTGAATCCTATTGAACATCTGCAGAGGGATCTGAAAGTGGCTGTCCACCAACGGTCACCATCCAACCTCATTGAGTTTGAGAGGATTTGCAAGGAAGAATGACAGAAAATCCCCCAATCTAGGTGTGTAAAGCTTGTTGCATCATACTCAAAAAGATTTGTAGATATAATTGCTGTCAAAGGTGCTTAAAAAAAGTAGTGAGTGAACGCCGCATCAGCATTATGTTTGACCTCAGGAGGTGTGGTGGGGGTGGCCAGCTATACACCACTTGTGTCAGGGGTGCCAGTGGTGGCCCAAGAGCTCTGCCAGCAAAAATGGGCTGTTTCCAAGGTGGCCTTGCGGGCCAGATCTAAGCACCCCGCGGGCTGAATCCGGCCCCCAGGCGTTGAGTTTGACATCTCTGCCCTAAAGAGTCTAATGCCAATGTAATATTTCAGTTTATTTGTAACTAGCTGATAACCCAGCATTTTCGAGGTATTTATTGATAGGGGGAAAATGTCCAGACCAAATACAATTTCTAAGATTGGATTTCCACTTTCTTAAAGGGAGTCCTCTAGTGGAGTACTATGAAGCCATTACCATGGCAACTCCACTACACTGTACAGTAGAAGCCATTTTACAGCCGTACAGCCGAAGCCATTTTAAAGCACAACAGGCTGTATCTTAATAGAACACACACACCGAGGGGTGTTAGGGGTGTCTTACCTCCATAGTATTTCTTTCCAGAGAGTAAGTCATCTGTGTACCAAGTTTGGTTGAAATTGCTCAAGGTGTTCCAGAGTTATGCTGGAACATACACAAGCACACACAGCCATTTATATATATAAATTTACAGACATTTCTAAAATTCTGTTTTCACTTTGTCATTATGGGCTACTGAGTGTAGATTAATGAGAAAAATGCATTTCAACAACTGTAGATCAGGCTGCAGAATAAGAAAATTAACCAAAGTGAAGGGGGTCTGAATACTTTCTGAATGCACTGTAACATACAAGCAATAGAATTCGATTGAAAAGCAAATAAATCTTTACAGGAGAAAATAACAAAAAACCTACACCTTGCAGTATCCCCATGGTCACATGATGATCGTTCAGATGCTTGGCAACTGGCATGTATTTACAATGGTTGTAGCATCCTGAGATCACATGATTGCCATTTCTGACTTCCTCGAGGGGCTTCAAATAAGAAAGTCACTGGGGGGGAGTTGGATTCACTTAGGAACGAAAACAAGAGGTCATAAAATCAGGTGCAGTCACACGATGACTCACTGAACAACTGAATTGTTTAGCAGAAGTTCCAGAACCTAGCCCCAGAAAGAATTTGTCTCCCTACCCAACTAGAAATGGAAATTATAGTGTAAGTCGCCACATTTTAAAATGACCTATGTGATGTGGCCAACTTAGTTTTGGTTCTTCCCTGAAAATGTAAATGCAACCAAAGAATGCCTCCTACTAATTTAGACGTCAAAAGGTCAGATTATATTCTTTTAAGGGAGACTAGAACAAAGTTATAAACAAGAGTACTTTTAAAACTTACTTCATGATATACTGAAGGTTTAGATAAAGATGGAATTGTAAAGCTTAGGATCCTACTATTCCCCTGTTTGTCAACTATTTCCTGTGAGAAAAATAATCAAGTTATTCATATGCATTTCATAAAATGCACATCAACAAACATAAAGCAGAACATAAGCTCCCAAATCATGCCATATTTATTATTATAAATAAAGATAGAAATTTATACATTATGACTATAATTATATATATAATTTATATGTAGCAAAATCTAAACATTTATTTAATCACATTTATGTAACTCCCATCTTGTTCACAGAGTAATTGTGAAATTTTAATTCTTCACTCTCAGGGTATTTAACTACCATGCACCCTTTGAGTCATAGTGTTTTATCACTTTGAAAGAGATTGTTAAAATCATAACATGGTAATCTTGCATGAAATAATATGAAAGTGAGAGTAGCTGCAATATATGTTTTTACTTCTTTATTTATGAGAAGACTATTAAAATGCCATAAGGTATATCACTTAAAATTAGGAATTATTACTTTAAAATGTTTTTGAAAGCAGTACATCTAGTTTTGTAAGTTCTTTGCAGAGACCATTCACACATTTAAAAGAGTATTTAAATGGTTTAGATTATTAGTATATTCTAATAAAATGCTCTTTAGGTTTTTTTAATGGCATTATTGATTTTGCTCTGCCTATTCAGTACTTATTAATTAAACTCACTGCCTAGCATTTAATGCAATTGTCTCTTGAAACTTTACACTTTATGAGAAATTGTTTTCCTTTCGAGATACATATTTACTACAGAGAGAATAACTTAATAATTTGATAAAATAGCTTCTGGCTTAAGAAAGCATATAGCTCAAAGAAAGTTTCAAGATAGCTTTTACATTAATACTAAGGATGCTGTTCTAAGTGCAACTAAAACTTTTGAAACAGCACTTAAATTTCCTTATTTTTACAGAATCAAAATATAACACATTAAACTTTATATATGCCAGCAATTACCAGCAAAGAGGCTGTCTCCTACTACTTTGAAAATGAAATGAATTTATACTATATACTGCAGCAAATGAAACTATCAGAAGATACAATGGTATGAATCCATTCTTCCTCGTTCATATCTATTAATAGAAATCATTTATCATTTTTATATGCCCATATGCATTCATACTCAGTTTCTCACATGAAAGAAAAAGACATATTCTATATACTTGAGAGTTCTCCTCTATTTCTAAAGCAAGCAAAAAAATGTACATGCATCCTACTATAGTGCCCATAAATATCCAATTTTCCTTTTATCTCTTTTTTTCACACGACCAAAATATTGTTGATTGGGAAGAAAGCCTGCAAAAATTTTAAAAAGACAAACCTATGTTCAAATTCATTAATTCCAGAATGTAGCACATTTTCTTATGCAAACATTCACATGGACCTTGGACTAACTTTACATCTCATAAGCATATTCAACAACTTCACATGTGAACCATCTCACCATCACGAAAAAATCTTATGGATAATTGTGTAAAAAAAGAATGGTTAATAATCACATTTTTGCTACCATCTATTTCAAGCTAGTTCCTTCATCCAACTACAAGCAATTACCACCATAGAGAACACCATTCAAAATATGTTCCTCTTCCAGATGTTTAATATTCATCATAAAAAGTGGTCACTTATACCAATGTCAACATGAATGAAAGTCGCTGTGGTTAAAGGAACCTAATGTATCAAGCAATGAAATGTAATGACAATTAAAGCCTTTTGGGGGAATTTAGTAACATATAAATTATTGAATGAATGAATTCTAAGTCTAGATACAAACCAAATTGTAAACTCCTAGTAAAAGTGCTTCTATACAGCCACTGCTTTGTAGGTCTTTACTAGCAGAAACAGCAAGATAGCACCATATCAATTGTGGAAGAAATTGAAGTGTGAACTGCAGAAGAAGTTCCTCACCACTGCGATAAAATTCAAATAACTGGTGACAGACTGGTTCCAGCAACTGAAATGAAAAACAAGCATTAAACATTTGGCAATGTTTAAATATGTTACTGTAAGATGCATTTTCTCACGATTTTTAAAAGATTCCATTTGTTAAGTATTATATTGGTTCCCAGTATTTAGTAAGCCTCATTTGTTCAGCTTATTTAACAGATGTAAACTTTGCATAGAAGATAACAGGAACCCTTTTTACTGTATGTCTTTCACACAGCAAGAGACGAAACTGAATCCTCATTGCTTAAAATTGTAATAAGTATAATCCTTCCTGAAGATTTCACTTTTTTTGAAACAATGCACATTATAGTTATATTCTACTTCACAATAGCTCAAGAAAAAAGAACATCATTTAGAAATTGTTTCTAATTTTCATGTCTATATAGAACAATACCAACAAAACATTTAAATCTAAAAAGAGTATTTTAAGGAACGAAACAGAATTTTATATTCTATTTTTTACTTCTTGTCATCATATCACTATGCAATGTATTCAATGTTAGCCCCGATTAATTAATAAATTAATAAATATCTACATACCTCATTTTGTAGATCTTGAATAACTTTATATATAGATGAAACCAAGCAAACCTTGTTTTTCAAATTTTTAGCATAACTTGCTATAGATGTTTCTGGTACAGTCTAACAAAAACCAGTTAAGATATACAGATATAAGATAAATTTAAGAGATCATCTAATATATACCATTCTATGTTTTTAAAAAAATCTGTTCAATTAAATATACCTCTATATCAAACACTAATCAAGCAGGTACATTAAAAAATCTTGCAACCATTGGCAAGAGGGCAATGGCCATGTTCTATTAACTCTCTTGGACAGTAGATTAGTATTAATTCTAAAATTTTATATTGTAATCTCTAATAAAAAATAATATTTTATAAATCTTTAGTTTCAAATTTTCTTATAACTCAAGAATCATGGATTACCTTGAATTCTGATAACCATTCTTCTACGATCCCTGATCCCGCATCCAACATATTTCAATGTATTCTTAATCTTCAACCTTAAATTGAGGGAATAAGAAGTGTTAATTTTCTAATATGTTTTTCCTACAAACTGGGATTACCCCAGCAAGATTTCACATTTTTATACAATATTAGTAGTAGTGGTATAATTATTTTTCATTTAACACAAACTTTCTGACAAAGTCCAGAGATAAAATTAATTACCAGCAAAGAGGCTCTGTCTCCTACCACTTTGAAAATGAAATCTACTGAATTTATACCATACACTACTACAAATGAAAATGTCAGAAGATACAATGTTATGAATCTATTCTTCCTCATTCATATCTATTACCCTGTTTCCCTGAAAATAAGACCTCCCTGGATAATAAGCCCAATTGGGCTTTTGAGTGCAGGTGCTAAAAGTAAGCCTCCCCCCAAAATAAGCCCTCCCCAAAAATATTGCGACACAGCAGCAGCCATGAGGTGACCACATTCGCCGCCTTCTGCAACCTCAAAAATAATAAGACCTCCCCAAAAATAAGGCCAAGTGCTTATTTCAGGCGTCAAAATTGCCTTATTTTCAGGGAAACACGGTAGTAGAAATCACTTATCATTCATATATCTTATCTCCATTTGCATTCAATATATTTCAATGTATTCTTAATCTTCAACCTTACATTATAAGCATAAGAAGTAAATGTCAATTTTCTAATATGTTTTTCCTACAAACTGGGACCACCCCTGCAAGATTTCAACTACGCTTGCCCTCTGCATTGATGCAGAAAAGAAAGCAGAACCAGAACAGAAACTGAACTGGTAATTTTCTCTTTCAACTCAATAGCAAATAAGAAAGGGGCACTAAAGGCCACCTTCAAGATTTAAACATTGTAGCCAAAGGAACTGAACTGTAGCTATACAGTATTGCAATAAAAGCATTCATTCTGATCCCATACTATATATGTGTTTGTGAATGCAACTTCTTTCTCAGCTTAGATGCTACAGTATCATACAGCCAAGTAGGACACACAACTAATGACCAGTGTTTCCTAAGTCTGAGATAATTTTCTAACAGTTATGTGGCTTTTAAATAGGAAGGTTGTGTAGTATATCAGCTACTTCTCCTTGGAAAACACAATGTTTAGAAGAAGTAAGTGTAGCAAGATATGATGGGGCAGGAGAGGCTCAAGGGTGTAGGGGACAGCCTGGTGTGAAGTAGCCCAAGGGACCCAAAAGGACAGGATGTGAGGAAGATAGGCAAGTAAAAACAGCTGCAGCATCCCTGTGGTCAGTTGTAAGAGCAGGTAGATTGCTAAGCATCCAAATTTTGTTCAGGTAACTATGGGGGCACTAGAGTGGCCATAACCCTGGGTACAGAATGTGAATCCTTTTTTTAGGACCATCACAGTTTCAGACAATAGTGGAAACAAATGGGCTAAGTCAAGGCCCACCTGTTATAATTTTCCGCAATTGTCTGCTGTTACACAATTCATACAACTGATATAATTATTTTCAGAATGCAGGAGAGATAAGCATTATTCAAATATATATACAAGTTTTTGGTTAGAGAGAACATGATGTTGTTTGACGAAAACATATTAGCTTATCACTACACTCAAACACTGAATTTGAAGTAATCAGGTCATCATACATAATTACTGTAATCCATGTTTGCAGAGAATGCTTTAAAGAGAAAACAAGTCTTGTGCAATAGTCCATACATAAAATAAATTACTGAAAAATTCACTTCTAAATAACATTAAAATACCAAAATGTCATTAAACGTCATCAAAATTACCAAATCGTGGGAGATTTCTGCAGTTAGGTTTCAGAAATTTAAAAATAATATTTTTAATAAGTTCATAAATGAAGGTCAAGTTTTATGAACGCTAAAATGCATCTGCTGTATGTTGATAGATGTAGGCATAGAGCTTAACAGGTTTGTAGGTTTCTTTTCTCTATTTCTATCAATAGGACGCCAGCTAATCACGAGGAAGAATAACATGTTATTTCCACAAATCCAGGGTACATTATCTTGAGCTGACAAGACCGTACAGAAACGAAGAGTTTTTTTCCCCTGGAGTGTATTTATAACTACAAAGAACAAGTGACTCATTTAAGAACATTTAATAGTGTAGTCTTTAGAATGTCTTTTCTATTAAGTAACTATTTGATGGAAATTGAAACAATTTAAACTTCCTGAGTATTTCTTTAGAATATTATTGAGTATTCACTAGTCTCTTTCTTGAAGCAAAGGCACAAGTTAACAAGCAAGAAAAAAATATTATCATAAGACTATATACAGTTTATTTTATGAATTACCCAAATAAGAACTAAAAGCAAAGCTTAAGGTTTAAGGTTTAAATTTTAAGTTAAGTGTAAGAGAACATCCATCTGATCTTGATAAATATAAATCTCTGGGACCTGATAGATTATATCCCAGTTTTCAGAAGGAGCTGACAGACGTTATCTCAGAACCATTGTATCATATTTTTTAAAAAAAATCTTGGAGCACTGGAGAACTACCAGAGGATTGGAAAAAACCTGATGTGGTTCTCATTTTCAAAAAAGGAGAAAAACAGACCAATCAGCCTAACATCAATAACTGGGAACATGGATGATGATGATGATGATGACGACGACGACGACGACTCATTATCATTATCAATATTAACTCCGCCGTTGCCGGTCCCAAGCCCGGATGAGCAAGGAGGAGGGTTGGGGTCAGGTTGGCAACCTGGCCCCATAAAGAAAACCCGCCAACCCATATAATATGGTGAAAGAAACGAATAAAAATTCTATACCGCATCGGTCGTCGCACAGGTTAACAAGGGCCGCGGCGGATGTTGAGGTCCATGGACATCCGTCGACAAATGGGCTACAAGTGGACT